TGAACAATTACCACAAATTATTAATCAGTCATCTTCCACCTTTTATGCAATGCTCTCACCTCCATACATTGACCCAATAAATATCAGGTCCAGTAGTCCATTCCCTTTAGGGATTGATTTTTCTCATGTTGTCCCACTCTCCTCACATAATCAGTTGCTGTATGGTGAATCATTTCCTCCATTTACCTCTAATTCCTCTGTTCCATGTGTATGTCCCTTTAAGGGATCAAAGTTCCCCACCAGTAAGTGATATGGAGTTAAGGGGTCAGCAGTAAGAAAAAAAAAAAAAAAAAAAAATGATGCAAAGTTCGGGGGGGGTCAGGAGTGAGTAACACAGAGTTCAGGGGTCACTAGCAGATGACGCGGAGTTTAGGGGTCAAGACTAAGTGGTGCAGAGTTCCATCCAAAGGCCAAAACACAGTAATTTTCCTGAAAGGCCTCAATTATTATTATTATAAGCAGGATTTATATAGCGCCAACAGTTTACGAAATGGTTTACATCATAAGGGTAGACAGTACAATTAAAATACAATTTAATACAGGAGGGGTCAGAGGGCCCTGCGTGTTAGAGCTTACAATGAGAAAACATACCACATTATGACCACTAGGTGAAGCTGGCGATCATAGGAAATCATTGAATTAGGCAAAATATGGTCAGAATCCACCAAGGATGGTTGAATGCTTGTCATATTCATCCAACAAATTTTTCATAATTAACCCCCAACTCTCTTTTTTATAGCTTTGAAGTGCGATTCCATTTCTGCTGAGAAAAATCAATCCTCTTAGTTATGGTCATTGTTTTTCTGCAATTACTTCCTTCTTTTTCAGCACTAAATGGTCTTCTTGCAGCAGTCACATGATCAGTCCCAGTGGGGTTTATTTAACCGCCTCCTGCCCGCCATGTAAGCAAATGACGGACAGGCGGCAGTTCTCTCGTTCTGGGAGGATGTCATATGAGGTCCTCCCACTCTAACTGTGCATGTGCACCCCCGGGGGGGTCTCCTGCCAGCGCATGAGGAGAGGAGAGCCGGTAATCAGCATTCCTCAGAGGTGACATCTACACTGATCATCAGGGCACTGATGATCAGTGCCCTGATGATCAGTGTAGCCCCATCAGTGCCACCTGTCAGTGCCTATCATTGCCACCTATCAGTGCCCACCAAAGCCATCTACAAGTGCCCATAAGTGCACATCAATGCCACATATCAGTGCCTATCAGTCCACATCAATGCCACATATCAGTGCCTATCAGTCCACATCAATGCCACATATCAGTGCCTATCAGTCCACATCAATGCCACATATCAGTGCCCATCAGAGCTGCCTTTCAGTGCCAGTCAGTGCCTCCTATCAGTGCCGTCAATCAGTGCCACCTATCAGTGCCATATATGAGTGCTGCCTTTCAGTGTCCATCAGTGATGCTTGTCAATGCCTATAAGTGATGCCTGTCAATGCCCATCAGTGCCATCTACCAGTGCCTCATCATCAGTTCTGCCTATCAGTGCCCTTCAGTGCCGCCTATCAGTGCCCATCACTGCAGCCTCATTAGCACACATCAGTGAAGGAGAAAAAATTACTGATTTACAAAATTTTATAACAGAAATTAAGAAAATTTTTTTTTTCTAAATTTTCAGTCTTTTGTAGTTCGTTTAGCAAAAAATAAAAAAAAACCCCAGTGGTGATTAAATACCACCAAAAAAAGCTCTATATGTCTCAAAAAATTATAAAACGATTGTTTGAGTACAGTGTTGCATGACCGTGCAATTGTCATTCAAAGTGTGACAGCGCTGAAAGCTGAAAATTGGCCTGGGCAGGAAGGGGGTAAAAGTACCTGGTAGGCAAGTGGTTGAAGTTGGAGAATGCAAAATCAGGCTCAGTTCTGCATTGAAATCAATCAGCTTCTAACCTCAGCTTGTTGAATTAAACTTTGGCAATAAAACCTGGAAACTATGCAGACGTGAGCCTGATTTTGCACTCTTCCGCTTTAGACATTGTGCATGTACGGCAGCGTACGGCATTGTGCATGTACGTCATGATGTCATCACGCACCGTGCATGCGAGGTTTGTCCGCAGTGGCCACCTTGAAGTCTTTAATAGGCCTGTTATATTCACATGTGCCATAAGCCTCTGATGCAGCCGGGGGGGAGGGGTTCCAGCTAAACCAGTCAGGCAGGGTCATCGGCCATACTAGGATCTATGACGGACCTTTAATGGACTGATAAGTATACCATATTTACACTCCTAAAACAGGGGGCAACCTTTACTTTATGCTGGATAATGGATTGAAAAATGGGCACTATCCTCACATGGCTGCATCACGAATGTTTTTAAGTCTATGATGGAGTCACATATACATGGGACATTGATTTTTTTGTTAACATCTCTATTGGTGGCTCTTGATTGAATATTTGCTACTAACGCTTCAAGCAGCTATTTGTGTGAGGGAAGTGCATGATTATGCTAAATGCATTTGGGCTGACATACATCTGCAGCCAGCCATTGTAATCATTTTCCCTCTTCTGGACCACTCCCAGCCGTCCTCTTCTTGGTTTGGATGCTTATAAGTAAATCCGGTTCAAACACCAAATATCCAGCAGAATTATTAGCCGATATATGTTCAAGTACAAAGTACACCAGAATTCTGTCTTGTTTTTTTTTTTAGGCCTTGAGATGAAATTGATCTATTTAATACACTTTGGTTATGGCCTGAAAGATGGACTGTGAGGGCAAACATCTATTTAGCAGCTGCACACCTTCTTTATTGAGTGGCCACTCTTTTCATCCTTGCTAATTCTCTATGGCTGTCCCTTCACTTTTGAGAGCTCTCAGTTTCATTGATTCAACATGAGTATAGAGTAATGAAATAGTTGTATATACAGATATATGTCTTTTGGTCCAACAGATCCATTGATGTGACCTTTGACCCATGAATACTTTTAAATGGGTCTATATATGTATGTAATTTGTCTTGGTTTTAAACCACTTGACTACCGGGCACTTTCACCCCATTCCTGTCCAGGCCAATTTTCAGCTTTCAGTGCTGTCACAATTTGAATGACAATTGCGTGGTCATGCAACACTGTACTGTTTATCATTATTTTTCACACAAATAGAGCTTTCTTTTGGTGGTATGTAATCACCACTGGGGTGTTTTATTTTTTGCACAATAAACAAAAAAAGAGCAAAAAATTAAAAAAAAAGTTTTTTGCTTCTGTTATAAAACTTTGCAAATGGGTAATGTCTCTCCTTCATCCTTCTGATGTGCGTTGATGAGGCTGCACTGATAGGCAGCACTGATGGGCACTGATAGGCAGCACTGATGGGTACTAATGAGGTGGCACAGATAGGCAGTACTGATGGGCACTGATAGGCTGGACTGATGGGCGGCACTGATGGGTGCAACTGCGATATAGGCTCCCTCCTCCCCTTATTTATATGTTCATATAATAAAGACGTAGAGCCTGGTAGGATCTTTGTTTTTTCTTATTTATTTTTCAAATGGGAAATTGACCCCTTACATTGGTAATGATAGTAGGTAGAAGATCAATCTAATATTGTTCACTGCTAAAGGAACCCCTAGCAACCTCTGGAGCAGGGCTAGGCAACCGTAAAGAGGTGGAGATCTATCTGAAAAACATGGGAGAAGCCAAAAATCACCGGGCTCAGAGTCTTTACCTCACACATGATTTAAACCTCTAATTGGCGTACTACTGTGCTGCAATCAGGTGCCTTGTATGGCAATCATGGATTTAAATCAGGTGGTAAGGAGGCAACATATCACCTCCTTAGCACCTGTCAAACACACTTTGATCACTTTTCAGAGGAGCAGCAGTGTCTGAATGAGCCCTTAGTTGCATTTAGCAGTGGCACCCTTAGGGCTTGTTCATTCGTAAAGTTGCGAGGTAAAACCCTGTGGTTGAATCCTGGTTTTACCACCCCCAATCCTTACTCCCTTTAGCTACTAAGGCAGCAGCCAAAGGTGTACACATGCTGCATTGGGAACTAAACCCCTGTTGCTTTTGGTGGGTGCTACCGCCTGTCAGTCCTGTCATCGCATTCAAGTATAGGCGCTAGCCAGGATCAGAGGTGGAGTGCAGTTGGTATCACTCCGCATTGGACAGGAGCCGGCACTACAGAGGAGGCATCGGCTTATGAGGCTCTTGTTCCCTACTACAGCTCCAGCTTTACAAGTATCCCTCTGCATTGCACTCTGTTTGATGCTCTGGGATGGCATGTCAGCAAGCCCAGACTGTGGTCCACCAGTCACCCGGCCATGGTCTACTGGTAAATCTTGATCTACATGTTGCTGACCCCCACTTTGGAGGAACACTATGCTTCCATGAATCCCTTGTTGAGAAAGCCTATATTGGATGCTTTGCAAAATAAAGTTCTTGTTCATGGAGGAAGGTTACACTATAACCTCAATACCCACCCTTCCAGGACTATATACAGTAGTAGTATATATGTGTTACTGGAGAGGAAACTAATACAAAAGGAGGAATCACACTACCTTCATGCTGAGTCCATGATCGGATTCAGACACTCAGACATCTAATCACCTTTCTTTAGCCTCTTACGTTATATAAAGAAGTGTTGCTCTTGAGATCACGTTATAAAGAAGTGAAGTGTGACATATGAAGATGAGATCCGATTTGCATGTTTCCTGTTCTCTATATGTGATGTTGGGGGCTCCCCCCTAATGATGTCAGCTGTTATATAGGAGACATTGTACCGGTGACATCTCAGTAGTCTGTGTGTGTCAGTGCAGAGACATCAGGATGGCTTCTCAGAGGGTTCTGCTGCCTCTCATACTGCTTTATATTCAGGGTGAGAGATTCTCAGGATAATGTGTATCATGATAAATTATAGGAATAGCATTGCAGAAAAAATATTTTATGGAAGAGAGAATATAATAAGTTACCGGTGTTCTCATATCCATAGGCTCCTAGTTTGTAAACATTGTGAGATGATCTGTACATAGACACTACATTTTTAATTGGTTTCTTTTTTTATTCTCAGGATCCTGGGCACAGACTATACTGACACAGACTCCGAAAGAGATCACTGCAACTCCGGGACAGACAGTCACCATCTCATGTAAATCTAGTACTGGTATTGGTACCTGCTTAAATTGGTACCAACAGAAACCAGGACAACGTCCAACACTGATTATCTGGTATGCATCCAATCTTCAGTCTGGAGTCCCAGACAGGTTCAGTGGATCTGGATCTGGAACAGATTTCACTCTTACAATCAGAGACATAAAGGATGAAGATGCAGCAGATTATTGCTGTCAGCAGTGTAGCAGATTACCTCTCACACAGTGATACAGAGCCGTACAAAAACCTCCTTCCTCTTTTAGTAATAATAAATCTCAGATTTAGAGTGAAGTTCATTTATACTGAGAAAAACATAATCCCCTCTAGATTATCTACACACATTGCAAGAATGTGTACCAAACCTTCCTGAAGATTCTTACCTTTTTCTTGTCTGATATCAGCGGCAGCTTACACCGGTTCCAGCAGAAACTAGGACAACCTCCAACACTGATTATCAGATATAATACCACTCTGCAGTCTGGAGACCCAGTTCAGTGGATCTCAGTCTGGAACAGATTTCACTTTTGGGCCTCATGCACACTGGACGATTTTACAGCGGCTGTGTTGGGCGTCAGGCGTGTTTTTCTACAGCCAGTAAACTCCCCAGCAAATTATTCAATGTGTCCATACACACATAGGCTTTTATCAGTGTTTTTTGCCGGTGGAATTTTCAGTCTGAAAAAAAAAAACATAACTACTGCATTTGAAGAGGAGTTTTTCAGCTGTAAAAGTGCTTTAAAGCTGAAAAAACACTGAAAGTGTTTACGAGTGTTTTTGAGCGACAAGCTTTTGTGGGAATATAGTTTTGCCAAAAACTCTAAAAAAACTAATGCAAAAACGCTAAAAAATGCGACAAACCTCACGTTTTTAACACAGCATTTTACAGCTAATGCTACTGGCGTTTTTATAATGACAATTGCGTGGTCATGCATCACTGTACTTTTTTTCATTTATTTTTCACACAAATAGAGATATCTTTTGGTGGTATGTAACCACCACTGGGGTGTTTTATTTTTTGCACTATAAACAAAAAAAGAGGAAAAAATTTGAAAAAAAAAGTTCTCTGTTTCTGTTATATAATTTTGCAAACGAGTAATGTCTCTCCTTCATCCTTCTGATGTGCGTTGATGAGGCTGCACTGATAGGCAGCACTGATGGGTACTAATGAGGTGGCACGGATAGGCAGTACTGATGGGCACTGATAGGCAGCACTGATGGCTACTAATGAGGTGGCACGGATAGGCAGTACTGATGGGCACTGATAGGCTGCACTGATGGGTGGCACTGATGGGCGGCACTGCTGGGTGCAACTGCTTTTACAGCATTGATGGGTGGCACAGATGGGGGGCACTGGTGTTTGGCACTTGTGGGTGGCACTGCAGGGCACTGATCATCAGTACCCTGATGATCAGTGCTGGTCTGCTCTGTGACAGTTGACAGTCACCGGCAGTACTTTTCTCAAACTGTGACAGCGTGAGGAAAGTGGGACCGATAAGCAGCAACTGTATTTTGTCCGTCATCTGCTGTGTGATTGGCCCTTTACCTCATTACGGAGATCGCTGGGTGCGTGCCACTGGGGGCACGCGTGTGGCATGTTCTGGAAGGACGTCATATGGTCGCCCTCCCCCCCCAGAACTGGACAATCATGCTGTAGCTATCATTCAGCTATAGCACAGTTAGCAAGTGGTTGATTAATAAAAAATAGTAATGCAGTCACTTATATCTGTCGGTATTCAATTTTCATTGTTTAATTTTGAATTATTCTGGTTGAGAAGTTGAGCTAAAACCCTTTCTTTTATGCAAGGGATGTTTTGATATAGGCTGTTGTGGCGGGCTCCCTCCCCTTATTTATCTGTTCATATAATAAGAAGTAGAGCCTGGTAGGATCTTGGTTTTTCTTATTTATTTTTCAAATGGGAAACTTGACCCCTTACATTGGTAATCATAGTAGGTAGAAGATCAATCCAATATTGTTCACTGCTAAAGGAACCCCTAGCAACCTCTGGAGCAGGGCTAGGCAACCGTAAAGAGGTGGAGTTCTATCTGAACAACATGGGAGAAGCCAAAAATCACCGGGCTCAGAGTCTTCACCTCACACATGATTTAAACCTCTAATTGGCGTACTACTGTGCTGCAATCAGGTGCCTTGTATGGCAATCATGGATTTAAATCAGGTGGTAAGGAGGCAACATATCACCTCCTTAGCACCTGTCAAACACACTTTGATCACTTTTCAGAGGAGCAGCAGTGTGTGAATGAGCCCTTAGTTGCATTTAGCAGCGGCACCCTTAGGCTTGTTCATGTCGTAAAGTTGCGAGGTAAAACCCTGTGGTTGAATCCTGGTTTTACCACCCCCAATCCTTACCCCTTTAGCTACTAAGGCAGCAGCCAAAGGTGTACACATGCTGCATCGGGAACTAAACCCCTGTTGCTTTTGGTGGGTGCTACCGCCTGCCAGTCGCATTCAAGTATAGGCGCTAGCCAGGATCAGAGGTGGAGTGCAGTTGGTATCACTCCGCATGGACAGGAGCCGGCACTCAGAGGAGGCATCGGCTTATGAGGCTCTTGCTTCCCTACCACAGCTCCAGCTTTAAAAGTATCCCTCTGCATTGCACTCTGTTTGATGCTCTGGGATGGTGTGTCAGCAAGCCCAGACTGTGATCCACCAGTCACCCGGCCGTGGTCTACTGGTAGATCTTGATCTACATGTTGCTGACCCCCACTTTGGAGGAACACTATGCTTCCATGAATCCCTTGTTGAGAAAGCCTATATTGGATGCTTTGCAAAATAAAGTTCTTGTTCATGGAGGAAGGTTACACTATAACCTCAATACCCACCCCTTCCAGGACTATATACAGTAGTAGTATATATGTGTTACTGGAGAGGAAACTAATACAAAAGGAGGAATCACACTACCTTCATGCTGAGTCCATGATCGGATTCAGACACTCAGACATCTAATCACTTAGCCCTTTCTTGCTGTTGCTCTTACGTTATATAAAGAAGTGAAGTGTGACATATGAAGATGAGATCCGATTTGCATGTTTCCTGTTCTCTCTATATGTGATGTCGGGGGGCTCCCCCCTAATGATGTCAGCTGTTATATAGAAGACATTGTACCGGTGACATCTCAGTAGTCTGTGTGTGTCAGTGCAGAGACATCAGGATGGCTTCTCAGAGGGTTCTGCTGCCTCTCATACTGCTTTATATTCAGGGTGAGAGATTCTCAGGATAATGTGTATCATGATAAATTATATGAAATAGCATTGAAGAAAAAATATTTTATGGAAGAGAGAATACAATAAATTACCGTGTTCTCATATCCATAGGCTCCTAGTTTGTAAACATTGTGAGATGATCTGTACATAGACACTACATTTTAATTGGTTTCTTTTTTTATTCTCAGGATCCTGGGCACAGACTATACTGACACAGACTCCGAAAGAGATCACTGCAACTCCGGGACAGACAGTCACCATCTCATGTAAATCCAGTACTGGTATTAGCACCTGCTTAAATTGGTACCAACAGAAACCAGGACAACGTCCAACACCGATTATCTGGTATGCATCCAATCTTCAGTCTGGAGCCCCAGACAGGTTCAGTGGATCTGGATCTGGAACAGATTTCACTCTTACAATCAGAGACATAAAGGATGAAGATGAAGCAGATTATTGCTGTCAGCAGTGTAGCAGCTATCCTCTCACACAGTGATACAGAGCCGTACAAAAACCTCCTTCCTCTTTTAGTAATAATAAATCTCAGATTTAGAGTGAAATTCATTTATACTGAGAAAAACTTAATTCCCTCTAGATTATCTACACACATTGCAAGAATGTTACCAAACCTTCCTGAAGATTCTTATCTTTTTCTTGTCTGATATCAGCGGCAGCTTACACCGGTTCCAGCAGAAACTAGGACAACCTCCAACACTGATTATCAGATATAATACCACTCTGCAGTCTGGAGACCCAGTTCAGTGGATCTCAGTCTGGAACAGATTTCACTTTTGGGCCTCATGCACACTGGACGATTTACAGCGGCTGTGTTGGGCGTCAGGCGTGTTTTTCTACAGCCAGTAAACTCCCCAGCAAATTATTCAATGTGTCCATGTACACACATAGGCTTTTATCAGTGTTTTTTGCCGGTGTAATTTTTCAGTCTGAAAAAAAAAAACATAACTACTGCATTTGTAGAGGAGTTTTTCAGCTGTAAAATGCTTTAAAGCTGAAAAACACTGAAAGTGTTTACGAGTGTTTTTGAGCGACAAGCTTTTGTGGGAATATGTTTTGCCAAAAACTCTAAAAAAAACGAATGCAAAAATGCTAAAAAATGCGACAAAACTCACGTTTTTAACACAGCATTTTACAGCTAATGCTACTGGCGTTTTTATAATGACAATTGCGTGGTCATGCATCACTGTACTTTTTTTCCATTTATTTTTCACACAAATAGAGCTTTCTTTTGGTGGTATGTAATCACCACTGGGGTGTTTTATTTTTTGCACTATATAAACAAAAAAAGAGGAAAAAATTTGAAAAAAAGTTTCTCTGTTTCTGTTATATAATTTTGCAAACAAGTAATGTCTCTCCTTCATCCTTCTGATGTGCGTTGATGAGGCTGCACTGATAGGCAGCACTGATGGGCACTGATAGGCAGCACTGATGGCTACTAATGAGGTGGCACGGATAGGCAGTACTGATGGGCACTGATAGGCTGCACTGATGGGTGGCACTGATGGGCGGCACTGCTGGATGCAACTGCTTTTACAGCATTGATGGGTGGCACAGATGGGGGGCACTGGTGAGTGGCACTGCTGGGCACTGGTGGTTGGCACTTCTGGGTGGCACTGCAGGGCACTGATCATCAGTACCCTGATGAACAGTGCCGGTTTGCTCTGTGACAGTTGACGGTCACCGGCACTACTTTCCTCACACTGTGACAGCATGAGGAAAGTGGGACCGATAACCAGCAACTGTATTTTGTCCGTCATCTGCTGTGTGATTGGCCCTTTACCTCATCACGGAGATCACTGGGTGTGTGCCACTGTGGGGCACACGGGAGGGCATGTTCTGGAAGGACGTCATATGGCGCCCTCCCAGAACTGGACAATCATTCTGTAGCTATCATTCAGCTATAGCACAGTTAGCAAGTGGTTGATTAATAAAAAATAGTAATGCAGTCACTTATATCTGTCGGTATTCAATTTTCATTGTTTCATTTTGAATTATTCTGGTTGAGAAGTCGAGCTAAAACCTTTCTTTTATGCAAGGGATGTTTTGATATAGGCTGTTGTGGCGGGCTCCCTCCCCTTATTTATATGTTCATATAATAAGAAGTAGAGCCTGGTAGGATCTTGGTTTTTCTTATTTATTTTTCAAATGGGAAACTGACCCCTTACATTGGTAATCATAGTAGGTAGAAGATCAATCCAATATTGTTCACTGCTAAAGGAACCCCTAGCAACCTCTGGAGCAGGGCTAGGCAACCGTAAAGAGGTGGAGTTCTATCTGAACAACATGGGAGAAGCCAAAAATCACCGGGCTCAGAGTCTTCACCTCACACATGATTTAAACTCTAATTGGCGTACTACTGTGCTGCAATCAGGTGCCTTGTATGGCAATCATGGGTTTAAATCAGGTGGTAAGGAGGCAACATATCACCTCCTTAGCACCTGTCAAACACACTTTGATCGCTTTTCAGAGGAGCAGCAGTGTCTGCTGCACTTGTGAATGAGCCCTTAGTTGCATTTAGCAGCGGCACCCTTAGGGCTTGTTCATTCGTAAAGTTGTGAGGTAAAACCCTGTGGTTGAATCCTGGTTTTACCACCCCCAATCCTTACTCCCTTTAGCTACTAAGGCAGCAGCCAAAGGTGTACACATGCTGCATCGGGAACTAAACCCCTGTTGCTTTTGGTGGGTGCTACCGCCTGTCAGTCGCATTCAAGTATAGGCGCTAGCCAGGATAAGAGGTGGAGTGCAGTTGGTATCACTCCGCATGGGACAGGAGCCGGCACTACAGAGAGGCATCGGCTTATGAGGCTCTTGCTCCCTACTACAGCTCCAGCTTTACAAGTATCCCTCTGCATTGCACTCTGTTTGATGCTCTGGGATGGTGTGTCAGCAAGCCCAGACTGTGATCCACCAGTCACCCGGCCGTGGTCTACTGGTAAATCTTGATCTACATGTTGCTGACCCCCGCTTTGGAGGAACACTATGCTTCCATGAATCCCTTGTTGAGAAAGCCTATATGGGATGCTTTGCAAAATAAAGTTCTTGTTCATGCAGGAAGGTTACACTATAACCTCAATACCCACCCTTCCAGGACTATATACAGTAGTAGTATATATGTGTTACTGGAGAGGAAACTAATACAAAAGGAGGAATCACACTACCTTCATGCTGAGTCCCTGATCGGATTCAGACACTCAGACATCTAATCACTTAGCCCTTTCTTGCTGTTGCTCTTACGTTATATAAAGAAGTGAAGTGTGACATATGAAGATGAGATCCGATTTGCATGTTTCCTGTTCTCTATATGTGATGTCGGGGGGCTCCCCCCTAATGATGTCAGCTGTTATATAGGAGACATTGTACCGGTGACATCTCAGTAGTCTGTGTGTGTCAGTGCAGAGACATCAGGATGGCTTCTCAGAGGGTTCTGCTGCCTCTCATACTGCTTTATATTCAGGGTGAGAGATTCTCAGAATAATTTGTATCATGGTAAATTATATGAATAGCATTGAAGAAAAAATATTTTATGGAAGAGAGAATATAATAAGTTACCGTGTTCTCATATCCATAGGCTCCTAGTTTGTAAACATTGTGAGATGATCTGTACATAGACACTACATTTTAATTGGTTTCTTTTTTTATTCTCAGGATCCTGGGCACAGACTATACTGACACAGACTCCGAAAGAGATCACTGCAACTCCGGGACAGACAGTCACCATCTCATGTAAATCCAGTACTGGTATTAGCACCTGCTTAAATTGGTACCAACAGAAACCAGGACAACGTCCAACACCGATTATCTGGTATGCATCCAATCTTCAGTCTGGAGCCCCAGACAGGTTCAGTGGATCTGGATCTGGAACAGATTTCACTCTTACAATCAGAGACATAAAGGATGAAGATGAAGCAGAATATTGCTGTCAGCAGTGTAACAGCTTACCTTTCACACAGTGATACAGAGCCGTACAAAAACCTCCTTCCTCTTTTAGTAATAATAAATCTCAGATTTAGAGTGAAGTTCATTTATACTGAGAAAAACATAATTCCCTCTAGATTATCTACACACATTGCAAGAATGTTACCAAACCTTCCTGAAGATTCTTACCTTTTTCTTGTCTGATATCAGCGGCAGCTTACACCGGTTCCAGCAGAAACTAGGACAACCTCCAACACTGATTATCAGATATAATACCACTCTGCAGTCTGGAGACCCAGTTCAGTGGATCTCAGTCTGGAACAGATTTCACTTTTGGGCCTCATGCACACTGGACGTTTTTATAGCGGCTGTGTTGGGCGTCAGGCGTGTTTTTCTACAGCCAGTAAACTCCCCAGCAAATTATTCAATGTGTCCATGCACACATAGACTTTTATCAGTGTTTTTTGCCAGGGGAATTTTCAGTCTGGAAAAAAAAACAGAACTACTGCATTTGAAGAGGAGTTTTTCAGCTGTAAAAATGCTTTAACCACTTGACCTCCAGAGGATTTACCCCCCTTAATGACCAGGCCTCTTTTTGCTACTCGGCGCTGCACTAATTCAACTGATAATTGCGCGGTCATGCAATGCTGCACCCAAACGAAATTTATGTCCTTTTTTTCACACAAATAGAGCTTTCTTTTGGTGGTATTTGATCACCTGTGCGCTTTTTATTTTTCACGCTTTAAACAAAAAAAGGCCAAAAATTTTGAAGAAAAACAATATTTTTTACTTTCAGCTATAAAAAATATATAGTAAACTCAAAGTTGGTTATAAATTTAGGCCAAAATGTATTCTGCTCCATGTTTTTGGTAAAAAAAAATCCCAATAAGTGTATATTGATTACTTTGTGTGAAAGTTATAGCGTCTACAAACTATGGTATAGATATTTACGCCATTTTTTTGCTATACAGCACTGAGCTAGTTTAATGGACAATTGCGCGGGTCATGCAATACAGTACATAAATGAAATTTACATCCTTTTTTTTTCCACAAATTGAGATTTCTTTCGGAAGTATTTGATCGCCTGTGTGGTTTTTATTTTTTGCGCTATAAAAAAAAAGGCTGACAATTTTGAGGAAAAAAAAACAATATTTTGGACTTGAAAAAATGTAAAAATCAAATTTAGTCATACATTTCTGCCAAAATGCATTCTGCGACATGTCTTTGCTAAAAAAAAAAAACCCAATACGTGTAAATTAATTGGTTTACGTGAAAGTTATAGCGTTTACAAATGGCGGGAAAGATACTGGGATTTTTAGTTTTTTTTTATACTAATAATGGCAGCGAACAGCGACTTATGGCGGTGATCAGTGACTTATGGCGGCGATCAGCGACTTATATGGCGGGACTGCAGGACTGTGGCGGACATTCTGACATTGGGGGGGTACTGACTTGGGGTCACTGACATCCCCAATGACACCAATACAGTGATCAGTGCAAAAAAAAAAACACACTGACACTGTACTAATGGCACTGGGGGAGGAAGGGGTTATGTTTATTTTG